GGGCCTGGGCTGGGGATTTGAACCCGTCATCTTAGGTGTATGTGGCTGGCGCCTTAGCTGCTTGAGCCACAGGTGCCGAGCCAAAATTTCTTTTTCTTCTTTATTCTTCCTCTATCTTGGACAAATTGGTTTAAACTATAGGACCTCTGGCTTGGTGCCTGTAGCTCAGCAGCTAGGGAGCTGGCCACAGACACGGGGGCTGGTGGGTTTAAACCTGGCCATGCCCTGCCAAACAACAGTGACAACTACAACAACAACAAAGTAGCTGGGTATTGTGGTCGGTGCCTATAGTCCTAGCTACTTGAGAGGCTAAGGCAAGAGAGCCCAGGTTTGAGGTTGCTGTGAGCTATGACACCACGGCATTCTACCGAAGGCAACAATCAGATGTCTCAAAAAAAAAAAAGAAGGACCTCACTGATTTAGTAGACAAAAAGATCAAACATGTTTATGGGAGAAAATGCTACAGAGCTTTCTTCATTTTATAATCTGGTAATAAAATTCTAATGAAAAAGCACATTTGTTGGTCCTACTAGCTGATGCATATAATCTTAGTACTGTGGGAGATTGAGGAAAGAGGATATGTTGACCTCAGGAGTTCAAGACCAGCCTGAGCAAGACTGAGACCCCATCTCTACTAACAATAGAAAAAATTACATGGGCATGGTGGTGCACACCTGTAGTCTGATCTATTTGGGAGGCTGAGGCAGAAGGATCACTTTAGCCCAGGAGTTTGAGGCTACTGTGAGCTAGGGTGATGCCACGACACTCTAGTGTGACAGACTGACCGTATGACTCAAAATAAATAGATAAAGAGCCAGGGTGCTTATAATCCAAGCCCTCTGAGAGGCTGAGGCAAGTGGATTGGCCTGAGCTCACAGGTTCAAGACCAGCCTGAGCAAAATCGAGACCCTGTCTCTAAAAATAGGTGGGCATTGTGGTGGGTGCCTGTAGTCCCACCTACTCGAGAGACAGAAGCAAGAGAATTGCTTAGTCCCAAGACTTTGAGGTTGCTGTGAGCTATGATGCCATGGAACTCTACTGAGGTTGACAAAGTGAGACTGTGTCTCAAAAAAAGAATAAAGTTGGTTTTATTGTTAGAAAATCTTTTCACAAAAATAATAGGTTAAGGGATCAAAATCATAAGTTTACCTCATCAGATATTTTAAGAATAATATGCTAGACTTCAACAATCTTTCCTAATAGAAAAAGAAAAAACTTACACTAAACTAAGAATAAAAATTTATTCCTTGGCCAGCCGTGGTGGGTTATACCTGTGATCCTATCCTTCTGGGGGTGTGAGGTGGGAGGATCACTTGAGCTCAGGAGTTCAAGACTACTGTACCCAGTGTGACAGAGTAACACTCTGTCCCCCCCCCAAAAAAGGAAACAGATTAGTGAAACAGAATAGGAAACCCAGAAGAGACAATTTTTTAATAGGTAATGTATGTGTTGCATAATATGAAGGTATCATTTTAAATCAGTGGGGAAGAGGTGGATTATTTTGAAAGAGAACTAATAATAAAAATAAAGATTACATTTGTACAATATTGTCACGTATTCCGTATTTCTTGGATATTTAAACGTAAAAAGACAGAAGAAACTATTAAGTTTAGTGGGAAAAAAAGTAGATATGTACATTATATGAAGGCCCTTTGTAAGTGTAGCAGTAACAGCTGATGTTATAAGGGAAAAAATTGGCAGATATGAGTGCAGGTTAAAGTCACATTACAGATTAGGAAACATATCTGTAACATATACAACAGACCAAAATTTTTTTTTCATTTTTATTTTTTTGCAGTTTTTGGCTGAGGCTGGGTTTGAACCCGCCACCTCTGGCATATAGGGCTGGTGCCCTACTC